CAAAAAGTACTTCATGACATGCCATAATGGTGTGCCGAGTTAAGTTTTTCTAGTATGGGCCGTTTAAAAATAACAGGGCCGTCTCAACACTTTTTACTAACCCTGTATATATATATATATATATATACTAGCTGTTTGCCCGTTCTACGTACGGGAATCTTGTGGTAAGTTAAAACCTTATATTCAGAACAGGAGTTGGTTTGCATATTTAGTGTGCATTTTTCCAGATATGATGGCAAAACTATAATTGTTTTGTAATTGTATAGGAATACATATAGGTAAACCTTCTCAAATACAATATCTGACAGTTTCAAAGCCAAAACGAATGCTTCGTAATTAAATTTCACCCGATCGTGTTAGTCCATATTTGATATCTAATGATGAAAGGAATTGCTTTACAGTATAGATCTATGAGGCATAGCCCTAAGGTAGGCCTGTAATTGAAAGTTACTTTTCACACTGGTTAAAAGTAGTTAAAACACTACCTCAACCTCACTACTGCACACTTTATTCGGGTTGAAATTTCTATTAACAATGGTGCTCTCGTCTTTTCCACGAAAAATAAGACATTAATGCGTTACCAATAATAGACATACACACACAAATACAGAATTGAGTCCACACAACATTTTGGAGTCCAGACAGAAAACGCTAAAAATTATACAGTAAGACATCAATTAAATTTAATAAGCAATAAGGTGCAGTGTTTATAAATAAATAGTGAAAATAGTTATGTGTTTGTATGTAAAAATGATTCTTACTGCTACCAACGTTTACATTTGAGAAAATAACTGTAGTACTTACGACTAATTCAAACTGTCCTTCTAATCAAACTGTATTATAGGTGTTAAGCTGTTTGCAAATATATAAATAAATACACAGGCCACAAAACATGTAACATGTAACGTTAACAACGTAAAGCTTTGAAAAATCACTATGGTTTGTTAAAAAAAACTTTCACTTGATGTGGTGCAGTACCGAAGTTATTAATCTCCTTTGGTTTTAATTTTTTTTTTTTTAGTTTTCGAAAATCAAAGTTATTTCCCATTAATAGCATTATTTGTAAGCAGCTTTTAATGTTAACATATTAATGACAGTTTGAAGAAACCACCTTTATCCAAACAAAGGTTTCTTATTTAAAAGATTACGCAATCTCTAAACAATAATCGGTACATATATCTAGCAAACATTCAGAGGAAATGTGAAGAAATCGCACAAATCTGGGGTTTTGTACGTTTGTAGTTTTATTTCCTAAGTAGGAAAAGTACCGATATTGTTGTCCAAATTTAAGTAAGTAGAAACCAAAAGTGACACATTGGAAAAGCGAGTTTAGCTACATCTGTTAAGTTAAACCTCTGTTACGGTACGATCACAGCGAAATCAGAAAGATCTTCCAAGATCGCAGCAACATCCACAATCACCCACTGACTGCAGTTGTGATTTTTTACTTTGCACTTAACACAACTGTCCTTGAAGCGCCGTCAATGAGTGGAACCTTTGTAAGCTACGGTATTGGTGACGATAATTAAAAAAATGTAAGTTTCCTTGCACTAATACAACACTGATTCACGGTATTTTCCCCGGTTATCAAAACTCAAGAACAATCGTTGCACTTGCGATTAATTAAAGCTGATAAGTAAGGCACAACGTTTTTAATCTCACTTGGTTTGGATGTGCTGACAAAACTTGATCGGAAATGGTTGCGGTATTTGTAAACAACTTTGAATGTAAACATATCAGTGACAGCTAGAGGTGAGAACTAATCCAAACAGCTGATCGTTATTTCATAAAATGTAATAGTAAACATTGGAAGACAATTTGAAAAAATCGATCAAAATTGGGTTTTTGGTGGTTTGTTATTTTGTTTTCAAAGAAGCGAGGCCATGTTTTTATAGCCAAAGACACTGTCACCAATCCAGTAAATACAGAAAAATGATTAGAACCTTGATCGGTACTCTAGTTTTCTAGGAGTAGGCCGCGTAAAATGACATTTTGGCGTTACAGCCGCAGTCACAGAGTGGACAAACAGACAAACAAACAGACATATAGACAGAAATTGAGATAAGACTCGTTTCGGCTTTCTTAGGCTATGAAACGTAAAAATAACCAAAAAATGCATGATTCTAAGCAATGTACAGGAGTGAAAATTTAAAAACGTACGTTTTCATGTCCCTGGCCTTTTACTTCGTAGATACTGGATTTTTAGTTTATTATTATGTGTTTTAATATTTTTTGCGACGGGGGCAACATGTTACACACATTTATTTGGTTTAAAATAGGTTCTAGGTATTTTTTTCGTATTTTTAAAGTCTCGAAATTCACGACCATGACGTGTCCCTAGGGTACATTTTCCAACTTTCACACTGTTTTTAGACTAATTATTCATGCCGAAATATATAAAGCCATATTTTTATGTCATCAATGGTTATTAAACTTACAAAAAAGGAGCATATTATAATTTTATTGTCATTACAAACTGACTACCATGACAAAATAAGTCTGTCCCTCGATTTGGCGTCACGACCATTTGGGAAAAATTTTCAACTTTGGAGCACGACAGTGGCAAGCCTGGCGTCGATGGAGTCAGTTGGTTTTAGAGACTAGTTCGGGGTGTACGTCAGGATTGTAGTGCCAGTCGTTTCGAGTTGAAAGGAGGAATTACAAGATTAATAAAGGAAAGATTGTGTTTTTTGTAATTTTGGTGTGTCCATGACCGTACGTAGTCATTCGATGAAGTAGACATGGTGTTAATTTTTGTTTATAAGATATTTCAATTGCTAGATTAACGTAGAAGTCCACTTTGTATCCTCGAACATGAGGTGCAGGGCTACCGCCAGAACAGAGCCAAATAACACGTAATTTCACGACCAAAGTTTCACGACCATCGCGGATTTTTTCACGACCAATCCAGCATTATGGATTATAGTGTGTTTGGTCGTGACAATAACTTTAATATAATTGTAAATTGAACAGTTTAGTTCAATTGAAACACATATTTTTATTATAACTAACAGGATAATTGAAGGATTGTTTAGAAAGATTTAGATTATTCCAGACAATTCACGACCGTACCGCTTGTCCCTGACCATCACGTTTATGATTTCTATCATAAAAATTTCAAAAACTAAAATATCGTCATATTTCAATGTTTTATACACAAAAGAAGCACACCTCTATACAAACATAACGATTTTTCGGGTCTCAGGTAAGTTTCTTCGGAGTTATACAAACTTAAAAAGATTTTATTGGCTTTTTTTCAATTTTTTAAGTTTTTTTATTTTTTTCTAGAGAGACCAAATATACCAAAAGCTCAGTGACCTTTTTATTGTATAATGGTCATAAAAGTAAATTAGTTTATAGCAAAACATAGTTATAAAAATAATATTAACTATTTTTAATATTCATTTAAACGTCCGTTATGGTCGTGACAGGATTTTGTGTTTTTCAACTAAAGATGCTCTTTTAAAAAGAAACTACCAAAGATATTGCGTTACCATGGACATTTTATGAAACTTCAAATGTTAATGAAATAAAAAAAATAATAAAAGTTTTGAAAAAAGGGGAAAAGAATTTGCAAAGTTCTTTTCCTGAAAACGTACGTTTTTAAATTTTCACTCACAGACAAAACTGTAATTTTATTTATATAGATATACATATGTCCGTGAACAAGATAACTTGAGCAATTTTTGTCTGATTTTGACATTATTTGGTTTGAAGGTTTAAGGCGGGATAAACTTGAATAATTTCGCAAACCGGCATGATCGGATCATGGGAACGGGGTTTAACGAGGGTTTTCTCATTTTTTACCCTTTAAACACAAAATGTATAAATTTTTCTCCAGACCTTTTTAAAGAGCTTAAAAAAACAAATAATTTTAGTACAGCAAAGTGTTTTTGTACAGTTATTGGTTACAGAGAAAATTCAAAAATTGTTCATTTAAAATTCCCATGTTATATGGAGAATATTGTAAAATGTTGTAGTTGGCTTGTTTATGGATATACTTTGATCAAAATTGGCAGATTTATTTATTTTATACTAAGCTATTAATATTGTAATAAAAAAATACATTTTATTAGTTTCCCTGTAGCAGCAAACTTAGGTACTCGTTAAACATAAATGTTAATTTAATAAATTAATTGAAAATCAATCCAGGCAAATGGGAATTTGCTTAGTCGGCAGGTTTGCTGCAGCAGGGGGTATTTTTGTTTAGTCTAAATTTGTATTTGTTATTGTTTGTGTTTAGCAGCTTGCTTGTGATAGAGCAAGAAGGATGTAATTTATTTAATAAATCATCTTTATACACTCAGTAAAGTAGTGTCTACTGCTTTAATCTATGATGTAGATGTAACTACTGACTGCAATGGTTAGATCACTGCGATAAGAGCTTCAGTGAGTCATTAAATGCCTAAAAGGTATGACAATACGGTTGAAATATTTACTTTGTAATCAAACAATAAAAGTCTGAAATTACAAAAAAATTTATTAAATTTCCAATGCATGATAATACGTCTTTCTATGCTAATATGTTATACTGTAATCCCTTCTTAATCATATTTTCACATGTTTTACTATACAAATGTATTCTAACAATTGTAACTTACGTCAATCAATCCAGTTGTGTATTGGAGGGACGTACGTTTCGACCTTTAGGCCATCTTCAGCCCCGCTGTTACACTAAGTTCCATCCTTAGTTGCATTGTTGGTGTAGCAACCGCGTCAAATATTTACAATTAAGAACATAAAAAACACGAAAACACGACATTGACGAAGACGAACACATATTAACAAAACTATCACCGTGCGCACGGCTGAACGGGCTCGGGACTGCGGCGGCACGACGAACACATATTAACAAAACTATCACCGTGCGCACGGTGATAGTTTTGTTAATATGTGTTCGTCTTCGTCAATGTCGTGTTTTCGTGTTTTTTATGTTCTTAATTGTAAATATTTGACGCGGTTGCTACACCAACAATGCAACTAAGGATGGAACTTAGTGTAACAGCGGGGCTGAAGATGGCCTAAAGGTCGAAACGTACGTCCCTCCAATACACAACTGGATTGATTGACGTAAGTTACAATTGTTAATTCAAACATCAATCCGTTTGCTACAAATCAATCATGATGACAAATGTATTCTTCCTAAATGAATGTCAAAATAATAGGTTAACATTTCTGATACTTTTAGTTTTATTAATTTTAATATTTACACCCAGCAGCTAAAATAATTAACTAAATTTTACGTTCATGGACATTCCTACTTTGACTTCCAACGAGTTTCTCATTTTGGTATGCATCAGCAGCCGCAGCAATCATTCACAGTTTGCCGACACCTAGAGAAAAAAAATGCTGTGAGAAATAAGAAACTGAAAATAAGCTTAAATTGATCATCGTTGTATTTATTTTTACCTTCAATTCTATTTTTGTCCTTTTAGGCCATCGTCATATTATTAAAAAATCAGTTTCACAGTATTTGTACATTTTATTTTCATCTGTTATCTTTTATCATATTGATATCATCAATATTAGAAATCAATCTTTATTATTTAGGTAATCATAGACCAAACATTTGATTTATTCAATTAATTAATCTATATTTAATTCCGTAAGCGAATTCACCATCCAGAAAGCTAAAAGACTCGACCCATTTAACATTTTAAATGATCAGCTTCTTTTCAGTCATCCTACTCCTACTAATATTATAAATGAAAATGTTTGGATGTATGAATGTATATGTATGTTTGTGACAAGTAAACACGAAAAATACTGGTCGGATCGGGCTGAAATTTGGTGTGATGATAGCTCACATTCCCGATTAACATATAGATGCATTCTTATCTCAAAAGTCCTTTCAGACTCCGCCCCAGTGGCTCTGGAGTTTCCCATGTTAACCTTATAAGTACCGGTAATCATATTTAAAAGGAATAAACGAATTTAGTCAGCTGTTTCAACGTTTCAACTACACAAGTTGGTTCTATGATAATACATAGCGTTAAAAAGTTATAAGGTTTACCTTCAGGGTGCAGCACTATTAAACTTTTTTGAACTTGAACCAACTAGCAACAAAAATCTGTGATAAGTTATACAATGAGAACTTTACTTTATCTATTGTTTAGTTGCAGTGGTAGAACATTATGGCTATAAGATGTGCTATGCTATACTATAGCTTCATACCGTAGATTAAAAGAACCAAATTCTCTTAAACCATGTCCAATCCCATTGCAAATGCAAAGCCAAGTATAACTGCAATAAGCATTTCATACTTATACACCAACACCGTGCGAAGAACGGGTACTCTGCTATAGTTCGGCCGCTTAGAAAGCGACCTCCTCCAGCATTGGTTTAGCATTAGCGCGCAGGTCGTTTTCTAAGCGGCCGAACTATAGTTGTTTTTGTTTATATTATTTGATACATATATTGACAAGCTACAAATCAAAGAAGTAGCCCATGGTGGATGGAAAATACATAGGTGTGCTATTCCCATCATATGCTGACGTCACCCAGATTGCAAACACCCTTTTCACCATCTATCTATTACTTATTTAATACGCAAGCAGGTTTTTTGTGACAATTACTCCTCCGAAACTACTGAACCGATTGACATGTTTTTGATGTCATTGGAAAGAGTGTAACTTGAAGTTGTGCAGGAAACTTTCTTTTTGGGGAAATAATAAGAGAGTGAGGCCCTGGGGCCCTTTAAAGTTTCGTATTTCTCCATAAGATTAACATGGGAAACAAAAATTGTTATGAAACTCCAGCTGTTGTCAGAAATTAAAAGTGAGAAGAAGAACATATGTTAATTGGAAACATTCAATAAGTTTGCTAATTTAACAGTTGGCTATAAACATTTACTGACTTGGTTGAAATGAAATATTTACTATTTGAATTCGGGTTGGCGTAAATATTACAATGGAAAAAAGCGAGAGAGCCTGGATAATTTGATATAATCTGTTATGTACATCTTGAGTATTTCTATAATCTTTGAGTCGAATCTTTTAAAGTCATGAGAAATTATGACTGTTATTCGTTTTAAAATAACGCCTGTAATACTTAGGAATTGCTCGAATTCGAGCAACAGGGACACTAGTACTTATTTAATACGCAAGCAGGTTTTTTGTGACAATTACTCCTCCGAAACTATACTGAACCGATTGACATGTTTTTGGTGTCATTGGAAAGAGCGTAACGTGAAGTTGTGCAGGAAACCTTCTTTTTAACCCTTTGAGTGCCAACGTCCGGGGAACCGGACGTTTTTAAAACGAGCCAAAAGTGCCGACGTCCGGCCGACCGGACGTTTTTAGAACGAGCCAAAAGTGCCAACGTCCGGCTGACCGGACGTTTCGTAATGATCGAACAGTTGTCATAACAACCGAATGGATACTCGGATTCTTTTAACCCATATATTAACATTGAGTCGAAAGTTACTAGATGCGATACATCGATTTTCGTTGGTCGAAATATCGAAAATTCGATTTTTACAAAATTTTAACCTAAAAATCGCCAGATCGCGCTCGGCATTTTTAGCGCGACCTTCGGGAAAAATCATCGGCATTTTTTGAGCGTTACTTTTATTTCTCGCCTGGCACTCTAAGGGTTAAGGAAACAATTAGAGAGTGAGGCCCTGGGGCCCTTTATAGTTCCGTATTACTCCATAAGGATAATAAGGGAGATAATTTTTATTTACAGAAACATATGTTTGTTACTTGAAAATAATCAAAGTCTACTACATAATAATTGCTGTGTATTATAACTGTTAATGTATACTACATTTCCATCAAGGATTGTGTGCCTTCTTAAACTTTACTCATATTGAATCTCGCTACTTTATTTTCATGCTGGGAATAGTAAAATTTAGTTGAAAATAAGTTACCATATTTAGAAAACTTTACTATAATAATATTGATGTATTTAAAATCCCAAATCTTTGACATTATTAATTCATTAGAAACGAAACAGCTGATCGAGAAATCAAACAAATCATCTACTTCATGTGAATAATGTTTTTACACAAACATAGTTTTTTTTAACCAATAACTTGATTCTTTTTTACCTGTGGGTGATGTATTTTGAGTTTGCAGTTACGAAAGCACCAAGCCAAGTAACTTTTATCTAATTTTCTTTACAAACTAACAGTATTAATTAATTACTACATGAACTTGACAAGTTAGGTAATTAATTGTCAGTATGCCAAGGGGAAGAAGAGTGGGTCCTAGAAAACAGACAAAGGCGGAGACACCCATCTAGAAAATTCAACTGAGTTTTTAAATATAGAGGTCAGTGGATTGCCAAGACACAGATTATACTAATAAAAGGGGGCAGTGGTTTTATTGATATTAATACATCAAAAAGGGCCTCATTAATGGCACAAGGCTTCATGTGATCAGAACGGTTAACAACAATGTAAAGTAGAATGTAAAGTCCTAACTGGAACAAGTGAGTGGGGACATATTTTGATTTCGAGGATAAAAATTTGCACGTCTGAAACAAACTTACGTTTTAAAATGGAAAGAATGCTAATTTCTGTTTTTTTTTTCATTTGCAGCACAAGCACTTTAATTAAAGAGCAGCACTGTTCTTAGCCAGACCAATTTCAGTCATGAGCAAATATATATATATATACAGAGTGAGTTTTAAATGAGTCCCCCCCCCCCTACTTTTTTCTACATTTCTTAAGATATCAACTCCGGACCACATCAGATCGTTGTAGAGTAGCAAGTACTTCATTTTGACTGGGTATACATTTTCGGCCGCCATCTTGGATCCACCATATTGGATACAATTTGATACAAAGTATTTTTTTCAAATGTAAAGGTAGGGTTGTGACCCATTATTTAAAATTAGAATTTTACGCTGATTACAATGCCACAATTAGTTTTTAAAAATCTTGATCCGTTTTAAAATTATAAGGACTTTTTATAACTTTATTTTTAGGCCATTTTAACATTGTGAATTTACAAACTAGACCATAATCTCAAAATAGTGGTAGATAAAGATAAGTATACACCTAGTACATTCAATGTCGACCTATTTTCACTTGGTTATGACGGAAGTAATTTTTTCGGCCGCCATCTTGGATCCGCCATTTTGAAATGTGATCAATTAATTTAAATATGAAGGTGGTGTTGTGACCCATCATTTTGAACTACTTTTTTATACTAAACTCAATGCCGCAATCCGTTTTTGGTTATCAAGCTTTCTTGATGAAATATTAAAATTATCTTATTTAAAATTTCAATATTATAAAAACCAAAGATGCAAATGAAAAACGGATTGCGGCATTGAGTTCAGCATAAAAAAGTAGCTCAAAATGATGGGTCACAACACCACCTTCATATTTAAATTAATTTGTCACATTTCAAAATGGCGGTCGAAAAAATTACATCCATCATAACCAAGTGAAAATAGGTCGACAATGAATGGTGGTGTCTGCCTATCTTTATCTAATACTATTTTGAGATAATGGCCTTAGTTTGTAAATGCACAATGTTAAAATCGGCTAAAAATAAAGGTATAAAGAGTCCTCATAACTTTAGAACGGATCAAGATTTAAAAAAAATAATTATGGCATTGTAATCAGCGTAAAATTCTAATTTGAAATAATGGGTCACAACCCTACCTTTACATTTGAAAAAAAAACTTTGTATCCAATATGGCGGATCCAAGATTGCGGCCAAAAATGTATACCCAGTCAAAATAAAGTACTTGTTAATTATTCTACAATGATCTGACGTGGTCCAGATATGATATCTTAAGAAATGTAGAAAAAAGTAGGGGGGGAACTCATTTAAAACTCACCCTGTATATATTTGTTGTTTTAAGTAAGGCTACATCTTTTAATAGGATACGCATATTTATTACAGAAAATTCTGACCAGGGTAATTTTTTTTTTTTTTTTTTTTAGGGAGAGGAGGGAAAATGCTTTTACGCACACAGGTAGCCAGCCTGTAGTGTGAGACTCCTGAAAATTGTCAGACTACTCACTAAAAAACCCCCTCTACTCTGTTGGACACAGACCTGGAATTGTTTGTCACATTACTTCAAGTCAGGCCAACATGTGACCTAAGCCCTCAGGGCTCGCACCGTTTCTGGCATTTCTATTCTTAATGACCTACAACCGCATCCCGGTCAAGGTCGATCTTCTTGGCGCGGAGAATACCCTGGATATAATGTGACACACAGGTCCAATTGTCCTCACCCTCCGTCATAATCGGTATGACCGTGTCCACCGACAGCAGTCCTATTAATTGTTGAGCCTCCAGGCGGGGCCTTTCCCAGCGCTGGCAGTGGAAAAATGTATGTTCCACGTCATCGAGAATGCCTGGGCAGTATATGC